CCAAGCCAACTTGACGCACTTTTTTCAATCATACGGTATAAGAATATTAAATATTGTGAATATGAGCAATATACAGTGAGTTTTAAGCAACTGGTAATTGTTTGATAACATTTGGTGTTACAATAAAAAAATAGCACACTTTGGCCCTAAAACAAGACAGGATTTTTTTGACACGCGATTTACTAAACACGTCACCATTACATTTTCATGTATTTTAAAGTTTTGTATATTGTGTTCCCATTTTGACGACTTTTTAGTATTTTTTAGTATTTCTTTCTAAATTAAAAATTAAAGTTGCCATCTGTAAATTAAAGGAGGGCAAACAAAATGTTGATATTCTGGTGAAAGTTTGAAATACCCTGCGGAGTACGTTAACAAAGCAAGGAATCACAAAAACCATATCATCTAGGTGTATAATTTCTCGATAGTTTGATTATTGATTCATCTCAATAGTTTTATCTTTTTTGGAGATATTCGCTTTTAAAGAAGACACTAACATTTTTTCGTATTTTTTACATTAAAACTATTCCTTTGCTTTTGGTCCTAGTCAACAGACCTATAAATTAGTGTTTATGATTTATGTAATATAACTGTCTTTAAAAATTGCTATCGAGATGAACCAAAAAACAAACTATCGAGAAAACGTACGTACCTAGATGACAAAATGATTTTTAAGTTACCTACTTGCTTTGTTTCAAAATATCAACAATTTGTTTCACCTTGTATAATTGACAGATGGAAATCTTAATATTTAATTTAGAAAGAGATATTAAAAAAGTCAAATAATTTACCTACAAATTGCTTAAAAAATCATCAAAATCGGCCAACTAGAACAAAATATATTAAACTTTAAAATACATCAAAGACGTGCCCGTTTTTCGTGCTGGTGAGTGTAGTTAACATTATTAACGGAATTTTATAAGGAAATTGCAGGAACGAAACATGCTAGGATTAACAAAGAAAGACCGTATTTTGGTTTGAAATGAAAATTAATATTCTTGCTATATCCACAACGAAGTTACAGGGTGGTCAAAAGTGCCGCTAATACCTTCGAGGAAAGGATGGTACGGTTGTGCTGGACTTGGCGACACTACCGTGCCCCAAGAAAAAATTGAGTCAATACGACAAAAGACCAAGGTAATAGATGTCATTCACAAAATCAAACCCCTTAAGTGGCAGTGGGGAGGACACATGGCAAGAAGGACGGGCAACAGATGGACCATCAAAATTACACCATGATGCCGACGAGGAATTAAGGCAGCTTGAAAACCAAACCTATGATGGGACTATAATATTAGAAAAATAGCAGGGAAAACTTGGGCCCGCATAGCTAACAATAGACAACAATTTGCCCAATTACTAAGAGATAGTTAAATAAACTGAAGAAGATGGTGATGATGATGACTAGCGAACTAAAAAAAATTATATTGTCAAAAATAATTGTTACATTTACATTACCCAAATAACGTGAAAATGACATGTTTTATGACATCAATAATACTTATTTATAAGACGTAAAAATCACGTTTGGAAATTACGTTTTTGTCTCGAGACTGTTTTCCTGTGAGAAATTACGTTAATTTTTCGGTACTGAAAACCATATTTTATTTTTTATAAGTTTAACGTTTGTTTTTTGTTGCTAAGATTAATCTGGATGGGACTACTTTGTTTATGCGAACTCCGAACCGTGGTCCTCGGCCATATCATTGTCAAAAGCCTAACGACTTGGCGAAGTCGACTCTTAGGGAGAGCGCCCACCAAAGTGACCTAGCATATGACGTCGCACATACATGGCAATGATATGGCAATAGCGTTGCATGATTTTTCAGGAAGCGAACATATAAGTGATTTGGTAGTAGCGTAAAGCTCAGAGGATGAAAATTTGTTAGCAGTTGTAAGCCTAATTAATATGAACCAAAATTATCCAAAGCGTCGCTATTGGAGACACCCCTATTGCAAAAAGAGACAAAGGAACAGTGGATTTAGTGTTTTTAAGGAATTAAAAAAAAATATTTATCCTGAAAGATTTGAAGCATTTTATAGAATGAAAAAAGAAATCTTTGATATGCTAGTTAGAAAAGTTGTTCCCATGCCAAGTCTTGTTTATTCCTGTTGGAATAATCGGCAGGAGTGTGGTCATAAATGCGTGGTTTACTCTCAATCAGAGATACAACATTTTTACCAAATTCGAGTAACGTATTAATAGCACGTAGCGAAACTTTGTAAAACAATTTAACCCTGCTATCTCGTAATAATCTACCTCGATGAAAAATAAGCGTGTGGAAACACTGTCTAACGATCTGTGCCATACGCGGCTAAGAAAATCACTATAATAAACTTGATATTGTACCAAAAGTGGAGTGCTTTAAGCCCTTATGAGATACAAACTTCGGAATTCATTTACTGTCAACGAATTTTTATAAAACTTTTTGCATTGTATTGTTAATAAGATATGTTACAAAGTTTAGCCATTTAAATTAGTTGCTTTCACTTTAGTATTTAAATAAATACACATAGGTATACAAATGCATACATACATACAAGATGGCTCCGTATTCCGGAAAAGCTCTGCATCAGGATTCCTATTTGAGATAACCCAAACCTTTTACAAAATATATGTTTAATGGTGTTCACATTTCAAAAATATTTTTATAGATATACAGGGTGAGTCAAATATATATCATTTATTATATGAGTTCAGTGAATTTGCTATAAAATTCCGGTTCCAAAAATACCTTAATACTATAGAATATACTAAATGGTCTTTGAATTATGACCACGTCCATGAGGACGTCAATCTAGACGTTCAGGAACCTTCGTATAATTGAGACGATCGACTTATTTTAAGTTTATCGCTAAGAAACCGCCGTTTGCTAGCTTTTCACATTGATAATGAATTGCACTTAAGGACCGTACATATTAACTAAGGGACTACAAGAAGAAGATTAAATGAAGCAAATATTATGTCAAGAAGGCCTGCTTCGGGACCAGAACTTACTAGATGTGTTGACTAGGCCCATAAGCAAAGGCATGGTCTTAATATAAAAATTACGAAAATGTTAGTGCCTTCTTTAAAACCGAATATTTCCAACAAAAATAAAGCTAATGAGATGAAACAAAAAACAAACCATCGAGAAAGGATGTATCTAGATGATAAAATGATTTTTAAATTTCTTGCTGTTTTAACATATTTCACAGGGTATTTCAAACTTTCCCCAAAATATCAACATTTTGTTTTCCCTCGTATAATTAACAGATGGAGTGTTTCATTTGTAATTTAGAAAAAGATACTAAAAAGTCGAATAATTTGACAACACATTTCTTAAAACATCATCAAAATCGGCCCATTAAAATAAAATATATTAACCTTTAAAATTCCCATTTTTCGTGCCGGTGAATGTATTTCAAAAACTATACATTTTAGTCATATACATTTCTAATGAAACAAACCTTTATTTTTTTACTAGAATCCAAATCAATTAATATATAGGGAGTCTATTACAAAAAAAAATAACTTTGATGTGTAACTTTTTTTGGGGACACCCTGTAGAGCTCTACATAATTTTACAAAATGCTTTAAATTGACTTACATAAGTTCACAAAATTTCATTTCAATACAAACTTTTGTTCTCCTTGCAAAAACCGCGTCGTATATGACGCGCCACCCTGTATAATTCGATTTCAATCAAAATTTCAATGATTAGAATATAAGCAGAATAGGTATAGCTTATGCCTTAGATTTATTTATTTCAATAAATTTACTTAGAAAAAGAATTAAAAAAATCAAAATATTAAGAAGGAAATTATTAAGAATTTACTAAAATAAAAAAATAAAAGCAACGAAAAAAAAAATGGGTAAACATTTTAGTATTTTATCTATAAAACACAATACAGAAGGTTTCAGATTAATACATTCACAGTAATTGAATTCCGAGGTAAAAGTCTCTGGGCACTCCACTAGAACCTTGTGTGCTAGGAAGTAAATTTTCATGCATATTTTCATCGATAGGTCTGTAGCTTCTGAATAATGGCCTAGGTAAAGTATCTAGCTCATTTGCCAGCTAAGAATTAGAATTTAGAGTTAGGAACTCACATTTTCATTGCAGGACACTGTCATATTTATTTCAAACAAATAATCAACGAGAATATTCGTATAATTTAATAAAATTACTGTAAATCAGAATAAATAATGAATTGTTTATAACTGAACTGTAATTTCTGTATTAGTAATCCGGTAAATGATGGAGAAAAACAATTGTGTTTGATTAAAATTTAATTTTAAGATGAAACTTTTGTTAACAACATTCTGAGAATTCGAATAATGGCAATTTGGTTATGTAAAATATAGAGTGACAATTTTGATTATGCAAAAGAAATACATATTCTATGAGTTTGCCTAACGATTAACATTAATTTAAAAATAAATCCCCAACATAAATAATGAACAAAACATTTAAATAAAAACAGACCACAAAAAACAAGTGGTTGGTTAGTAGCAGTTCGTAGTAGTCAGAGATATAGATGTAGTAGTATTTTGGTTTAATGGTCACAGCGGACAGGCCGAGCGAGAGAGTGAGAGAAATATCGTTTTTTAATAAAAATTAAAAAAAAAAATTATAAAATTATAAAGCTAGAATATACGGATTTATATTAACTCTAATTTATATGAAGTTTATAAAAAGCATTCTTAAAGAAATACATATTCTTCAATTTAATAGCTGTTAGTAAGAAGTTTCCCTTCAAACATGCCGCACATTTAATAAATATTTGCACACCCAATTTTTTTGTAATGAGTACTATTGAAATAACTTTATATGAACTATTTATATTTCTAAATTAAAATTTTTATTATGAAAGTTATAATAATAAACGCCGCAAACTTTAATAATAAAAGCAAAAGCATATGTGGTAGACCGTTAAAATAACACGTTACATAAACGTTAACTGCATTCCCTTATCTCCATTTCGCTGTGTGTTTTTACTTGTTTTTCCTTTTCCAGCCTGCAATATTTCATACTACGGCGTCGTGGGACGCACCTATCAACTGGAGGTGAAAAGACCATCCGAATTTCCGTTCCTTTGTTATCTAAATTTCACCGCAGGCGGAGGTCCCTATGGAGAATTAATCCAGGTACGTAATTAAAGAAATGATTTATGTGTATGTCTGCCTTTTTGTTCATGCCAGTCGTCACCTACTTATAGGCCAGTAAGCGAGAGTTTTAAGGTCCGAATTCCGGACACCTGCACCGATTGACGTGAAATTTTAACAGTGAATAGAGACATATGTAAGAAACAAAAGTTACGTTAGTAGCGATGTGTGCTAGCTTTCACCCTGGGGGGTGAGTAAAAAATAAATCACCCATTTTAATTGCAAAAATCAACAAAGGGATGAATTCTAAGCAAATAATGTTCTATAACATTTTTTCAGAAAATTAATATTTTTCTAATTATTTAGGATTGAAAATGTTGATTTTTCATCTAAAAACTGCATATTTTTCTGCCATTTTTTATAAATAACTCGAGAACGTTTTATCGCAAAACTGACAGCAAAAATGAAGCTGTTGGAATAACTAAACTATTCATTTTTTGTTGATTACCGTAGGTATAATAATAGCCGAGTTACTCACTCTGTAAAGGTGATTTTTTATTTTTCGAAAACTAAATTGCAAACCTTTTACCGCAAAATAATGGCGAAAGGACACATTTTTAGAAGAAAATGGATATGACCGTTTTTAAGTGCGTGAAAAGACCTTTTAAATGTTTTTTTTTAAGTTAGTAGCTCAAAAACTCGCGGAGTCATGGTAAATATAAAATAGTCGTCTCAGTTTTTCGGAAAAAAATTAACAACAAATTCTATGACTAAACTCATAAAAATAAAAACTACCCGTAATACATGTACAGTTGGCTATATTTAGGTACTAACAATGAGCTCTGCAAGTTCGAGCCGTTTAGAATGCCTAAATTTGTATAAAAGTTGAAAATAATGATGTTAATTTTCTTCCGAAAAAATGGTATGTAACTTTTGTTTCTTACATATATATCTCTATTCACTGTTAAAATTTTACATCAATCGGTGTCAAGAATTCGGAGGTAATCCCCTATTTTTATCCTTGCTTACTGGCATATAAACCTTTTACGGTTTTCTTTTAAGTCGGGTTTAATTTGTTTTGCTTGCACCTTGGTGATATTAATCTTATTACTGGCTAATTCGTGCAAATGGATTTGTCAAATTTAAACCGTTTTCTAATTTAACTTTGCTTTCGGTAGGAAGACTTGGTTGATTTGGAATTTCCTTGCCAGAAATGCATTTTCGATTTTATACTCTTCGTCGCAAATGCATTATCTAGGTAAATTAAAATTTAGTGGTGCTAGTACGATTTATGTCTGCTTCTTGTTTTAACCTCTTTGGATAATAACTAAAAAATAAAAATAAAATGAACCCCAAAATCTCTTCTTCAGTTTAATTTTCGAACATAATATAATCATATTCCGATTTAACGTCAAAAATTATCAATTACTAGCTAATGAGGGATAAAGCACAAACAAAAAATTAAAGCCATGATTGCAGGCACCTCTAAAACAGCGTCTACACTATGCGAAAGACTCTTCGAAACATTTCAAGGTCGCATTTCGTTGCCCAACTTTGACGCATTTCGACTTATTTCCAGTTATCTTCGGCCTTATCTTTACCCAATTCGGTTTGCCTCGACCTACTTTCGATTCTTAAAAGCGCCTAAAAACTACTAGTGAGGAGGGCGTGCTGAAATTTTTGCCATTTTTTGTTTTGTTTTGAGCTATTTCCTAAACAGTATCTGTATCTGAGGCAAAGGATTTTTTTCATAAATCTCAGTGAAATAAGTAAACCTAGACGTTTCTAAAATATCTGTTGTTACAATGATATTTCGTTAATTACATCTCGTTTTATGTTATATTGATATATATTCCACAGAATTAATATTTGAACACGCGTTTATTATATACAGGTTGTTAATTTGTTTATTACTCGCGGCAAGAGCTTTATGATTGAAATATGGCAATCTCGGCCCGCTCGTCGATAGACGACGCGACGGGACGAGTCGGCAGAAAAGCCTATAAGTACATGTGTTCTCCATAGGCAGTGTTGCCATTCTGTTCCCCTATAAGTAACTGCCGAGTTAACAACCTGTTTATAGTAGATATTTAAAAACAAAACTTTTCACTTAAACTGCAGGAATATAATTTCAATATTTTTATGGTTTAACTAACCTAACCCAACCTAAAAGTTTTCTAATAATTTAACTTTGTTTTCGGTAGGGAGACTTGGTTGATTTGGAATTTCCTTGCCAGAAATGCATTTTCGTGGTGCACTGTAAAAATAAATTAAGTAATTTTACTACAAATATCGGAGGTCATTTAATGCCTGCGATATTGATAGTATGTTTACTTTTTTTAGTAATGTTAGATAATCATTGTAAGTTAAAAGTAATTGTGTCAGTAATTTTACAGTGAAAATTAATGTAATATTACTTGATTATTTCACTCAAATTACATTCTTTAATTGTAAATCGTATGTACAACTATTACAATAAACATGTAATTTTCAATGAAATTCCAAAAAAATGTAAATTTATGGAAAATTCCTGTGAAATTACCACACTATTACTAACATTTTACAGCAATGGACTGTAAATTAAAAGTAATTTTAAAACTGTTTTACTATAATTTTACTTGAAGTTAACTACGATAATATATCTATTATTAATAATAATACTTTTTACTTTATTTAATTGTAATATTACATTACTTTTTTTAAAGATTGGTAAATATTGATTATAAATAAATCACTTTTAATTTTTTACATTTTTTTTATTAAATTAAAAACTGTCAGGAGTCTTGGTATCAGGAGTCTTGGAGAACTTGGTATCAGGTCTCTAGGACTCACAACCATCCTCCAATGGGGTACATCTTCCAGGAGGGCAAAGCTCCTGGAAAGGGCGAATATTTACAATTTCTTTAATTTAAATATACGTTTCCATGCATGGACGGATTTCCTCGGCTTCAAGCCGTTCTTCTGGAGGTATGACCTCTCCGTTTTTAAGTGTTTCGATACAAAAACATAACCTATCCGAACCTGAAATCCGTAGAAAAAGCACACTTAGACATTTCTATTTTTGAAGTAAACTTACCTTTACTCTCCCAATATGAACAGTAAACAAAAACAAATGACTAAATCCGGTAGTTTACTACCACTTTACGTTTGATCAAGGACCGAAACGCAGTAAAAATTATTATAAAAAAGGCACACGATCAGACTACAAGCGTCGACAGTTGACAGTAGGCATCACGATCATGGCCGGCGTAATGACTAATGAAGATGATGGTGTTTCGCGGCAATTTAAATAGGAAAGTTACTAAATTGATGCGATTTTCCAACAAATTTACAACAACGTAGTAAATCAGAAGTAATGTAATTGTAAACTATACGTAAATTTACTTTTTACGTTTGTCATATTATTGTAACTTTACTTACGAATAGTATTTTGTTAGAAATTGTACATATTATAGGAAAAGTACCAATAATAAGCAAAGATATTGGAATTTTACCAAACTGCTACAGTAAACAATAGGCGACTTTACATTAAAATTATTGCATTTTTAATGCGTTTTTACATGCACTTTTTACAGTTTAGAATACTCTTCGTCGCAAATGCATTATCTAGGTAAATTAAAATTTTGTGGTGCTATAGTACGATTTATGTCTGCTTCCTGTTTTAGAAAAAATCCTAAAACGGATTCTCTAGAGAATATACGGCTGATGGAAGTCTCTTTGAAGAATTAATCCACAAAAGTAATTAAATAAATGATTTATGTGTGTAACTTCTTATTCCCACCGGTGCCGGTGGTCGGCTAAATTTTTTATGTCTTCTTTAAATCCTTCTGGTAATAATAATTTTGATTACTAAACTACTTACTAAATACTAAATTTGTTTTCTTGCACCTTAGAGATATTAATCGGACAAAAATTCGGAGCCAAAGCTTTTAAACTGGCTAATTCGTGCAAATGGATTTGTCAAATTTTGACCCTTTTCTAATTTAAGTTTGTTTTCGCTAGGGAGAGAGGTTTATTTGTAATTTCCTTGCCAGGAATGCATCTTCGTGGTAGAATGCTCTTTGACGTAAATGCATTATTTAGATAAATTAAAAATGCACGATGATAATACGTTTCGTGTCTCCTTGCTGTTTTAATGTGTTTGGATACCAACTATACAAAACGAAAACCTACTTCTGCAAAATCCTTTCTTCTGTTTAATTATTTTTGAACATGGGTATAATCATATTCCTAATATTAGATTATATAGATTTCAAGCATTGATGTGGGTGATGTTCACATCCTTTGAAAATATTTTTCCTTTGAACTAAAAATTACATTTAGGGAATTTATTTTTAGATGAAACAATACATTGATTGATACCGAACTCACCCGATATTTCGTATAAATAATTGAATATTAAATTTTAAAATATTAAAAATTTATATTTTAAAATCCTTTTAGCGTACCTAGTTCTCCTTAATATAAAATTGACTAACTAGTAGTATATTTTCATAAATTTTTCAAATATAAAGAAGACAGTTCAATTTATTTTTTAATTTTACAAAATTCGATAGTAAATTTTAATATTCCAAAATCGAAAAACTGTTCTTAATATTTTAATTCTATGATATTTTAAAAAATTGTAACAATTGAATATGAGAGAGAGAGAGAGAGAGAGAATATGTATGTATTTATTTTTTATTTTAAAATAAAAAAGAGATGATTAAAAACTGTAAGTTTATAACCATCTGCTGATGATTAAAAACACCATGGTTAGCGAAACGCGCGTCCAGTGCAAAAAGTGTTTTGGTGTATTGTGGTGAATTAGTGTTTTATTTTGCTGTTGCAATACCAACAACTGTAATCAATTGATGTTGTCAAAGTATTCTCAGAATGATAGGTTAGGTTAGGTTGCTGGGGTTTGGGATCATGTTTAATACCTTACTCGGAGGCCTCGGGCCCATTGCGATACCCCTGTATTGTTGTACCAAACCTTCCCCTCATTCTTTTTTTGCGTTAAAGCACTTCCAGCTCTTTGCAAAGTTCCCGATGTCGCTGAT